CTGGCGTAAAATAATTCTTAGTTATTCTCTTGGTCGTTACAATCGCGATGTTGTCCATCGCGACGACATCGGAGGAACAAATGAACAAACGGCATCGGAAGTACGACGGGGGGGGACGATACGACGACGTCGGCGTGGGCGGCGGTCGAATCGAGGGGTTGAAACGCGGGAAAGTCCCTCGGGTCCCAATTACACCGACACCCGATCCCAGCATTACGGCCCGGCTAATTCGAGGGGAGAGTCGTATATAAATCTCGGCGAGTTGATTGTGCAGTTTCAATTCCGTTTGTCGCTCGACGACGTCGGAGATAACGCGTCGGCAGGTCGTTACAGTTACTTTTTTCACCGGAGAGATTAATTCCGTATCAGAGTCGCGCGACGCGACGCGACGCGACGCGACGCCTCGCTCGATTGAGCGTGTCCCATAACTGTAATCGGATACGATTGAGCGTAATGTTTGTCATTAAAGATAACTACCTCGCGTCGAATGCGTTACTGAGAAAACGTTTTTGTCTAATAAATACCACGGAATAATACCACGTACGTTTGTAATTTCTTTACGACCCGTTGCAGTGGATGTAAGTTTTGTTTCTCATTTATTCTCAAAGTGCCAGAGACAAGCGAATCGATAAACATGGCTTAGTAACGTGATATGATTGATGGAACAACGATCACGCGGAGTCTTTTCTTCGCTCGGAAAATCTCACGGCGCAACTTAAAGTTAGTTAACAACGCTCCTCGCAGATTGCCGCGAAAAGGGATGTAGGAGGAGAGCTTGAAAGGGGTGTTTCTCTCGACGGGGCTTGCGACAAACGGCTCGGCTAATTACAGAGAGGCCACAGCTCCATGTAAACCGGCGGCAAAGGCAGCTGTCGGTTCCCAGACTACCGTGGTTTCGATGGTTTACGTGTGTCGAGAGCTTTTTGTTTTTGCGTGAAAATGTCGTCGTTCGTTAATTCGATGATACGATATGTGCCCGACCAGAATATCCGCCAGTGGATCAGTTCCAGAAGCCGCCGCGTGTTTCTTTCCATCGTGTTTATTATTCTTTCGTCCGTTCGCACGTATCGTTTCAATAATAATATTAATATTAGCACGAGCAGATAAGTACCAAGTCAAGTGTACTTGTCCAGAGCCCAGTTCCGTAAGAATCTGAACGCGAAGTCTAAATACGATCTTCCGCGTCTTTGCGTAAGCGCCAGAAGAACGTGGGAAATGCATTTCTCGTAAGCGATACGAGACTTCCTCGTATGGTTCAGTTACATAGAAAAAAAGATAAAACAATGACGCCATTCTTGTTTCTGCGTTTTCAATTCTACGATGTTTATGCACAGTTACATAAGTAAAAAACAGACTAAGTATTCGTATATTATTACGTTATAAATCAGCACTTGTGTAAAACTTTCAATGAACAGTAATTTAAGCATTTAAATATGGAAATAATTCGAATAATTGGAGTATCCTTCTTTAGCTAAACTTTTTGCACGGTTCATCTCCTTTTCTTTCTTATTTTCCTTTTCACATTGAAGAGGAAAGAAGAGAGAAACGAACTGTGCAAGAAGTTTAAGTCTAAAAAGAATAGATCTGATCATTCTAATGTTTTCGGAAGATTGATAATAATCGGAAATGAGTTTCCAACGTGGAGGGGTCGTTGCTCTTTCGTGTATCCCATTCAGAATTACGAGACGCGTTGTGCATTCAACCAGCTGCGAAAGGTCATCTTATTGTTCGCCGTCGACAAAGTCGCGCATCCAACTGGCAATTCCCTCGCCGTCACGATACTACCGAGGAAGGAAGCCGGATTTCTCGCAACCCCTGCTAAGATAATACGACCACCCACCCGGCAGGAGGTCGAAGATTTCAACCTTTACCAAAATGCCAAACGGGGCTTTAAACGGGCTAATAACGTTGCCTTTCCCCCTTCAACACGCTGCTGTCGTATCGTATATACGATTTCGATTCTGCGTCGCACAAATTGCCTGTAAAAGTATATATAGCGCAGCTTCCTTCGTCACTTGTCACTCGTCTCTCATCATAACGTCGTAATGACGAGAATTGACGACACATTCTCAGGGAATAGCAATTTGTTTTTATCGACATTAACGTTTCTAATTAACGTTGTGCACTTTGTCGCGTATTTTTAAACTCGTTAAACGTTTTTATTATTCGCGCTCGGAGTTTACCTGACAATCCCGCGCGAGCGAATGCGCGCGCGTGGGCTGCTGTCTTGGTATTTTAAACCCCGGATGGCTTGGCAAGGAAGGTTCGCGCACGTGTGCATCGTGCGCCGTTCTGCGGGAAAAAGGGGTTTGCAGCAGTGGGGTACTCGATCGGAAAAACTGCCGATGGATACGCCCTCATTAAAGCACACCGAGGTCGTCGTCGTCGTCGTCGTCCTCGTCGTCCTCGTCCTCGTCGTCGACGTCCTCGCCGTCGTCGCCAGCGAATAGTAAAGGTTGACACGGTATCTCTTACAAGACGGTCATTAGTCGAATGAGAGGAGGAAGTCTTATGAAGTGCCTGCGTAAATATCTGTGGGACTGGCCGGTCATCAATCATCTTAGAATCCTGCGAGCCGCGAGCTTGCTATGCACGAAATTACGTATCGCCTTACGTCTCGCGACGCCACGAGACCCGCCCTGAGTGGAGAGACGAAATTACATAGAGGGTCACTCTTAACGAACTATTATTTTTTACGAAAGGAATTTCTCCGTCTCTCCCGAGTCTCGGCGGTAATTTTGTGGGGATAATACATCCCGGTGACGTATTCTCCAAAAATATCGCATACCTACACAAAATATTATATTATACGTTATGTATATTATTGCAGATTTCCCTAGTCTTTCAAAAAGTCCCTTTTCTTTCAAAAATACTAGTATACGAAACATTCATGTATAATGGTACATAATACAAAAGATATGTACGATATTTTTCGAGAATTTGGCTTCGCATATTATACACTTGTCGCTATGAAAGTGTAGAGGGATGAGCAAAAAAAGAGATTTTCTTCGAAACCACTTCCAGAGGGAGAATTTTTTTTCATCTAAATGCATTATTGAAATATAAATCAATAATAATACACAGAGATCTCACGTGACACTGCCATTTAAGTGATAACGTAATGTTGCACGCGTGCGAAATACACGAGCGAAATACACATACAATATCGTTCGCACGGATAAAGTTATCGATAGGCCGCACAATGCGGGCAGACTATTTACTATATTTGCGATATCATAGGGCGAGTAATGGTTTCGCTTGACGTTACGGTCGGAAGAACGAAGTAGCAGGGGATAGAAGATGACGCGAGAGGGAGAAAGAAAGAGAGACAGGGTGGATAGGATATTCCGTGAGACTGGCTGTCATATTCATGTATTGACACCGAGCTGGTTGACTAATGGACTGCTGTTGTCACAGGCTCGTGTTACCGCGAGGGCCTGGCCTCGCCGAGTCGTTTTTCCTGAGAATCGACTGAAACGCATTCGCGTCTACAACATTCGTCTCGTGCTTATCGAAAATTCAGTCTTGCGCGAATTGTGTGAGTCATTTCGAACAGTAATTGTAAAACGTCGTAAGGAATCGCATGTCAAATATGTTAATTCGGATATCTCTCCTGAAAAGGCTCTCCTAAAAAAAATTTTATATCACGTGCGTTTCACTGAACAATATTTTAACTGCGCCATTTTTCTGAGGCATACGATGGTTACGCCAGTTACCAAAAGACTATTTCACTCGTTATTCTTGAATAGAATAGCACGTCGCGTTTCGTAAAGCCGCGAATGGCGTGGCCGTTCTTCCCGACTTTTACATATTTATCGAGCCTCGCATTGTTGTCACGTCAGACGAGAGACGTCGACATTGTCGAGCCTCGAAAATCTGCGATATTATATCTGCAAGCTGGAACCGAAGATCCAGTTCTGATCCCCGCTACGCTACCTTCTCCTCTCTCTCTCTCTCTCTCTCTCTCTCTCTCTCTCTCTCCCTCTCCCTCCCCCCCCCAGTTTACGTACTTTTATGACGTCATTCTAAATCCATACGTATTTAACGCGAGGAAAATCAGAGAAAATGAAAAATGAGTGATCAAAATTTTCGATTAAAACGACAGCAATTTCACAGTATAATGCACACTCTCATCTTATGTCAGCTTTTGATTTACGCGAATTCGAATTTACACGCTGGGTTACAGGTAACGCATTAATCGCGTAAATTGAGAGTTATCTGTATATCCCTCTCACCTGTCCGTTCGATATTTCATCGAGCTCAATAACATATTCAGCTTTTATAATAAATGGCACTCGCGAAATTTTCGTTTTTGTTGATGTGCTTGTTCGGAATTACACGCTACGGAATTACAGAGAAGTGAATGAATGAATGGGAAATTGCATCAGCTAGAGCTTCGACGAAAGGGTCAAGAATAGTAGCGTGGAATTGAGGGTTATAAGGAAATGGATAACGAGCACGCAACGGTAACCATTTTATTACCGTTTGATATTCGATATGAATTCGGTTAGGCAATTGCGAGCTTTGGCCCGGTCCCTGCCTTCCATTCCAGACGCGAAAACGCCTAGAAGATGTCGAGTCGGGGCCTCAGCTTAAAGTGGGTAAAGGAAACGTTATGGAGAACGCGAGTTAAGGCGAGAGACCCCCAACGTGGAATAATACGATACGCGGGAATCGACGGACGCACGGACGCGAGACTTTACGGCGCAGTGCAAGCCTCTATGGCTTCTTGATTTATCGGCGAGCTAAGCTTCGGCTTCGAAAACCTGCTCGAGGCGCTCGATGCACGCCCGTGAGATTACCGTGTGTCGCGGATCGCGCGTTCTCGGCATTGCCTTTCAATGCATTGCTTGTCGGCCAAGTCAATTTTCTGCGGAGCGGATTGGGTGCCACTTGTAAAACTTGAGTAAGCCGACCGTTCTCGATTCGATGCTTCGTAGAAGGACACACCCCCTCTCGCGATCTCAAGACCAGATAAACTCTTGTACTCTTGTACTCACCTCGCACCTTCTGCTCGTCTTGTAGCTGCCGCTCCAGACTGTCCTTGACCTCCCGCTCCCGGAGAACGTCCATTTTCAACTCGGCTGTAACACACACAAGATAATGGAAATTTATTTCAACGTTCCTGTGGAGCTCCCCCAGAGAATGTGAACCATCTCGGGATATGAAGGTCGACTGTTCATTCAATTCTGACTCAAGTTCTCGCTTCCCCTATCGTATCGTTAGTTTTAATTGCTCGATTACCTAGTTCGCGCGCGAGAATGCTTGGGACAACCGAGTGTCTCCATTCTTCATGAATAATTACTAGAAATCATCTCGTCTTCTCGAGAAGGCTTCATCAAGGAGGATTAAGTTTTCGATCGTAAATTCGGAAAACGCGAAGGATTTCTAAATCAACTGTAGTCAGTGGTTAATTTGACAATAAGAGTCGCTCCCAGCCTTCTCTTCTCTATCCATCTATTCTCTACCATCGTCCAAGAGGTGCTGCGGGGAGGATATCGCACGGTTGACTGAGTTCGTGATTAAATCCAATGGCGATGGGCAGACCAGAGCTCGCATAGTTACCTCTAATAGAATTATATTAAGACATGGAGTCTCTCTATCCCCCGCCTGGGTCTTCCCGCTTCCACCTGCTTAGTCCATGTTTCTTGTCTCGCGCCACGACTTCCCTCCTCATCCCGTTCTCCCTATCACCGTCTCCGACTTGTAGAACTCCCCCGTTCCCGTGGGAGCCACCGCGCTAAATTAGCCATTTCGAATCTCTGCTAGAGGGTCGTTAGGACGAGTCCAGAAACTCGTTGAACGGTACTAAGAAACCCATGTGCGCCATACGGTGACCAGTTTTCAGTCACTCTCATTGCGAAACGTGACACGCTGAGGTAAGTGTAAGCATATAAATGGGAAAATTAAAGAGAACGCGAATGTGTAAATGACAGCCACGAATTATAGAGCTTGGAAAAATTCTATCCTCTTAGAGTTTAGAGGGCGCACAAAATCATTTTTGAGACTGGTAATATGGTAAAACGTTTCCGGGCTCTAACTCAAGCAGGCTAATTCGATTTAACGGAAGAGAAGTAAGGCGGCGGAAGAGACTCCCTTCTTTCTCTTTCCTCTGACTCGCCGGCCTCTCGAATTACATTGGTGGGCAATGAGCCACGTAGCTCGTAACGCACGTCAGTTCGCCGGACTGTTTGCAGATTTTTCGCTATGCTGTTAACAAGAAATTATACGTTGTAAATTGGAATTGAATAAATGAAATTGTACATAAATTTGAGATATTAAGCTCGCACATATTAATTCTAAAGAAAGGAACTTACTCTTTGAAATTTTTTAAGTGGAATCCAATTCTAAAAAGCGACAAAGAGTGACGATTGAGTCAATGTTGAAAAAGAGTAGCTCAATTGTTAATTGTTGAGAGAGTGACATTTCACTAGAGTTAGATTCCAAGGATTGAAGAGAATACAAAAGAAGAAACGCGTTCAATAATTCGATTTCATTTATCTCGCTCCTGTATTCAGTTTTCACGTGTGGCGTTTTCATACCTCATCGGGGAAGTATAATAAAATTTGAAACAACACTTAATTCGCTTATCGCATTTCGCAAGCTTTTAAAAGACTCTTTTGCAGACTCGTGTATACGCTACCGTCGCATTAGCAGCAATTATTTTCCGACCTGGGTTCTCGTGGAGAATCCAAAAAGTTTCGCGACATACGTACAGGCTGAAGGCAGCGAGGAGAGAAAGAGAGAGAGAGAGAGAGAGAGAGAGAGAGAGAGAGAGAGAAAGAGAGATACGAAGCCTGACAGAGAATCAAGCCGGTAGATTAGGTAGGGCCGCGTCGTCTCAACAGTCTGCCAGCAATTTGAGAGCGTTTGCGAGGTCCATTAACGGCGGTAACTCTTCACGACCGGCCGCCACGAAGATTCAATTTGAATGCTAACCAGAATAGGAAGTTCGCGCCGGGGCCCCATAGTATATACGCCGCGCGCTGTGTTCTCCCTCTCCCCCTCTCGTCCCTCTTAGCCCCCGTTATCCCCTCGCCACCCTGTTATTGCCAATTTCGGCGCGTTTCTGCAGCCCACTTTGCGATCGTTTAGATTATCATCTCTCCCGGTTTCTCTTTCTCTCGACGGCCCTGGGTACCCTCCGCCCCGCCCCGTTCCCCCCTTTTCCCGTATCTCCTACATTCTGCTCTCCCGCTCCCACCCCCGGTCCGCTCTC